AAAACAAAGATTAAAACAAAGTCTTTATATGTCAACAAATGGAAACTTTGTTTTCAATTAAGTATCTGTAACTGTTTCTATGTAATTTATTCTATTCCAAATACGCAAATATGTTTAAGACTGTAAGGTCTCTAAGCATTTTTTTTTTTAACTCAAGAACTGATGTTATATTTTCATGAACCTTAACTCTCTAGTGTTTTTGCTTCTCCGGAGGTCAGTTTCCTAATTTTATCAGTAAGGAAAGATTCCCATGGATTGGCACTCAGCATCCATTCACCACCTTTCCTGTGCAGAGACTGGGAGCTGATAAAATGTTCCAGAGAGCTTTGAGTGCGAGAGGGAATTTGGCAAGTTATAATCAGGTGCATGCTGGGAAGCTCTGGAAGGTAGGGGGGTGGTGAAAGCTGTTTCTGCTATTTTTGCTGTTCTGATAGTAAGCACAGTTCTGCAGGTGTCAGATTTTTCGGTGCCAGATACCAGGTGTCTGGTCAAGAGGGGTCTGAGGGGCTGGGAGGCAGGGGGCAGTGTCCGTGTTCTGTCGGCATAGACCGGGCAGGCATGGTTGAGCTGGAGCTAACCGCGAGGATTGGGGTGTCTTTGCAGCCAACAGCTTTCAGGTGTCTTTCTGGTGCCGCAGCTTCTTGACTGTGCACAAGCGACAGCTCTTTTGTTCTGGTAGTTAGGCTGGATGTGGCCTTCGGTCATTTGGAAGCTCTGAATTCCCTATACTAAATCTTGTCCCATGTGGCCATCCGGAAGGGCACACAGGCACAGAATAGGAAAGGCAGAGATGAACCACAGGACCTCTGGGGTCCTGAGGGGGAAGTAGGCAGTGGGGCATGAAAGGGCATTTGCTGGGCCACGGACAAGTTGAATAGAATGTTCCCAGCGGGGGCTCCTGAAGAACCAAAGGAAGAGCTTCAAACACCTGCCAGGTCCAGAGGGCAGAAACAACCGCTTGGGCAGGTACCAGTGAAGGACTGTTTCTGCTCTCTTCTATTTTGGCCTAGAAAGGGTCAGGAACTAGTCTGCAAGCTTGGGGAGCTCAGAAACATCAGGTGGGGGGAACAGAAGAGAAACTCATTGCTTCCTCACGCCCCTTTATGTGCACGCAAACACACACACTCACACAGAGCCTCTATCAGGTGCTGTCTGAGGGAGGAGAGAGGATTAACTTTAAATCAAATTCAAGATGGGGCGCCTGGTGGCTCAGTTAAGCATCTCACTCTTTATTTTGGTTCAGGTTCTGATCTCAGGGTTGGGGGGGGCTCCTAAGATCGCGCTCTGTGCTCAGTGGGGAGCCTGCTTGAGGTTCTCTCTCTCCCTCTGCCCCTCCCTCTCTCTCTCTCTAAATAAATGGATAAAATCTTAAAAAAAAATCAAGTTCAAGGCTCTGAGTATTACATGGAGTTGAGCATTGTAAGATTTAAAATTATTTTAAATCAAGGGGCACCTGGCTGACTCAGTCTGTGAAGCATGCAATTCTTGATCTCAGGGTCATGAATTCAAGCCCCATGCAGGGCATGAACCCTACTTAATAAATAAATAAAATTATATAAAGCAAGACCGTGTTTGCAACTTTGGAACTTTTTATTACCACAGTGTGATTAAAAAAATTAGAAGGCTAAGTTTTTACCCAGGAGCAAGGGAAGCACTTTCCACACGGAATAACTTCTTTTTTCTTTTTTTTAAAGATTTTATTTATTTGAGAGAGAGAGAGAGAAAGAGCATGAGCGGGGGGTAGGCAGAGGGAGAGGGAGAAGGAGACTTCCCACTGAGCAGGGAGGCCAACATGGGGCTCCATCTCAGGACCCCGAGACCATCATCTGAGCCAAAATCAAGAGTCGGCTGTTTAACTGACAGAGACACCCAGGAGCCCCCAAACCGTAAGAGACTCTTTTTTTTCTCTTTAAATTTTTTATTGTTATGTTAATCACCATACATTACATCATTAGTTTTTTTGATGTAGTGTTCCATGATTCATTGTTTGTGCATAACACCCAGTGCTCCAGGCAGAACGTACCCTCTTTAATACCCATCACCAGGCTAACCCATCCCCCCCCCCCCCCCCCCTCTCGACCACCCTCTGTTTGTTTCCTGAGATTAAGAATTCCTCCTATCAGTGAGGTCATATGATACATGTCTTTCTCTGATTGACTTATTTCACTCAGCATAACACCCTCCAGTTCCATCCACGTCGGTGCAAATGGCAAGATCTCATTCCTTTTGATGGCTGCATAATATTCCATTGTGTATATATACCACATCTTCTTTATCCATTCATCCGTCGATGGACATCTTGGCTCTTTCCACAGTTTGGCTATTGTGGACATCGCTGCTATAAACATCAGGGTGCACATACCCCTTCGGATCCCTACATTTGTATCTTTGGGGTAAATACCCAGTAGTGCAATTCCTGGATCATATGGTAGCTCTATTTTCAACTTTTTGAGGAACCACCATACTGTTTTCCAGAGTGGTTGCACCAGCTTGCATTCCCACCAACAGTGTAGGACGGTTCCCCTTTCTCCGCATCCCCGCCAACATCTGTCGTTTCCTGACTTGTTAATTTTAGCCATTCTGACGGGTGTGAGGTGATATCTCCTTGAGGTTTTGATTTGGATTTCCCTGATGCCGAGCGATGTTGAGCACTTTTTCATGTGTCTGTTGGCCATTTGGATGTCTTCTTTGGAAAAATGTCTGTTCATGCCGTAAGAGACTCTTAAGGATAGAGAAAAAACGGAGGGTTGATGGAGGGAGGTGGGTGGGGGATAGGCTAGATGAGTGATGATGATTAAGGAGGGCACTTGATGTGATGAGCACGGGGTGTTGTATATAAGTGATGAACCACTGAATTCTCCTCCTGAAACCAATATTGCACTGTATGTTAACTAATTAGAATTTATTTTTTTAAGATTTTATTTACTTATTGGACAGACAGAGACACAGCAAGAGAGGGAACACAGCAGGGGGAGTGGGAGAGGGAGAAGCAGGCTTCCGGCTGAGCAGAATCCTGGGATCATGACCTGAGCCGAAGGCAGATGCTTAATGACTGAGCCATCCAGGCACCCCTAACTAGAATTTAAATAAAAATTTGAAGAAAAAAAATGTGATATTTGAATAGTATTTTATATGGACAAAAACCACACTTTTGGTCCCTTGCACACTGTTTCTATTTGATATGCAGTCTGCGGGGGGAGGGGACTTTCTGAAGTCAGTTTTTTGTTTTTTTTAAGTAATCTCTAAACACCCAATGTGGGGCTAGAACTCACCACCCCAAGATCAAGAGTTGCGTGCTTCACCGACTGAGCCAGCCAAGCACCTCTGAAGCCAGTTTTATACACAGAAAAAGGACGTTAAGACCTCTTGCATATATATATATATATATATAAATTAATACTTACTTTAGTTACAAATCCACAAATCTAGCTCCCCTTAACCTTTGTTTTATTCTATTTACAAATCTAATTACTTTTATTTACAAATTTAATAAAATTTAACTATTACTGTAAGGGGGAATTTCACCATTCACTTAACTTAATTATCTTAAACATTTTAGATGACTTTTACAAACTTAATATATTCAATTTTCTTTTCAGGTATTTCAACTATGTACAAGGCTATGTAATTCTTACAAATATAGTAAATTAAGTTTATTTTTATATTCCTTTCAATTTAAACTTATAATTCTAAATCAGTTACTTGATCATACATTTTAAGTTGGAATCATAAAACTAATATTTGTATATTCAGATAAGCTAAATCGTAAATATTTTATGTACTTATAGCAACATAGCCAAAGCATTCTTAAATGTATCATGCACTTTAATAGTATTAAAATATTAATGAAATTAATAACCCTTATTATTTTATACTTAACTCTTAGTTTCCAAAATTAAAAAGATATTTACTGGCATAGAGAGCGCCTCGGTGGCTTAGTCGGTTAAGCCTGGGATTCATGATCTCAATCCAGGTCTTGGTCTCAGGGTAGAGAGTTCAAGGCCCCTCTTGGGCTCCACGCCGTGCATAGAACCTACCTAAAAAAAAGAGAGAGATTTACCCGCATAAGACAATAAGGCATCCCCTAGAAGGTTAAGATTCACCATGAACCAAGAGATGTATATATCTACCAGTGATGTTGCTGAAAACCTGACTGTGAAGATTACATCACATGCCCTATTCTTGGGCCAGAACTTAGCTTGACCAGCCCCGCTGGTTTGCTCCACTTCCTCACTGTGAGTCAGGCTGAGATGGACACGCCGGCCTCAGTAAGCTTGGTGTTTCTAAGATTTTATTTACTTATTTTCTAGAGAAAGAGAGCACGCGCAAGCATGGGGAGGAGCAGAGGCAGAGGGACAAGCCAACTCGGGGCTGAGCGCTGACTTGGGGCCGGATCTCAAGACCCTGAGATACTGACCTCAGCCAAAACCAAGAGTCCTTCCCTCAACCGACTGAGCCACCCAGGCGCCCCAGAGCTTTGTGTCTCTGACTGTATCCTTAGGATAGCTGTCTAGAAACGTATGGCCCTTTTTCAGGACACTTGATGAATATTTTCTGATTGCCTTCCCAAAAGTGTGTCACTGGCGTGCATTCCATGAATATTGCGTTATCACGACCGTCCCACCACATTCTCCGCGGCACCGAGTATAATCTTTACTGTTACTATTATCATCATCATCATCGCCTCTGCCAATTTGAGCGTGGCAAATGACGCCTCGTTATTTGGGGTTCATTTATTCCGTTGCAAGTGCGGCTGAACGTGTTTCGTACGTTCACTGGGCACGCAGCTTTCGGGGTGTCCCCCGCCTTGGCCGCCAGGTAGGATGCAGGTAGGTGGGGCTGAGCGCGCAATTCCGGGCCCCGCGGCCAGGGGGCGCTGCCACCCAATTTCCCCACCCCCACCCCTCTACCCACGCCCCGTCCGGGCTGGGGCGGGCAGGGGGGCGGGCAGGGGGGCGGGCAAGCGGGGCCGCAGGCGCAGGCGCGGGCGGGGCGCTAAGGTTGGCGTCCTGTCGCCCCGACCTTCGCCAGCGGGGCAGTAGCATCATGACGGTGGGAGCCAGGCTCCGAAGCAAGGCGGCGAGTGGTTTCCTGCGCCGCGGGCCCCGGGGGCGAGCGCGGGCGGAGGGGGACGAGGAGGCGGCCGCCCTCCTGGAGCCGCCGGAGCGCGGGGACGAGGCGGCGAGCGGGGCGAGCGCGGGGCGCCCGGGGGCCCGCAGCGCGCGCACGGTGCACCTGGCAGTCCTCCCCGAGCGCTACGAGCCGCTGGACGAGCCGGCCGCGGGCGAGAAGCCCAAGAGGAGGTACCGGCAGAAGCTGAAGAAGTACGGCAAGGTAGGGCCCCACGCCTGCCACCGCCCGCGGGCTTGGGGTGCGGGCGGCCCGACCCCCCGCTTCCTGGCCGATCGCCCGGAGGGCGGCGGTAGGGTCCCCACCGGCCGGCTGCGCGCAGCTTCTCTGGGCTGCCCCTGCGTCCCCTGGCCAGCATTCGTTAACAGACACCGAAGAGGGTTCCGTCTGTCGACTGGGAGGTGAAGGAAAACTAAATCGCAAGTAACGACAGGAGCCAAACCGGAGCTTTGCGGCGGGGGAGGGGGCACCAATCCACCCGCCCCTCTGGGGCTGGCCGCTTGGTCACATTCCCAGCAAGTCCCAGCATTCCCCGTGGTTCTCATCCTGGTGTGTCTTACACTCCCTTGCACAGTTGGTAGGACAGAAATCCGTGTCCCTGTTTTACAGATGGGAATACTGAGGCATTTGAGTGGTTAGGTGACTTACAGAAGGTGACCCAGTTGGAAAGTAGGGAGCTGCCGGCCAGTTCATCTGTTCTCCGGCAACATCCTCTCCGGGATATGCCACCAGCTGAGAACCGTTCGGTTATTCTCCTCAGGCATTCCCAAGGTTATGTCCAGGGCCTGGGAGCTCAACAATACATAAATAGGCACTTGTTGAATCTACTTTTCTCTTCCCCCAGCTGGCTATCCGTGTACTCCGGGACCCGCAGACATACTACTGCCTTTTGCCTTGGGGGCTGGGGGGCAGAGGAAAGAGGAGAGACAGGAGGAGAGAGAGAGAGAATCTGAATATGGGGTAAAATGACAGTGTCCTTCTCAGAGATCAAAGCCCAAGGCAGTGCCCAGGTGCCTCTCCCTGGGATCACTTGAAGCTACTTCTGCCCCAGCCCCTTGGGGCTGGACAAGGCCACCCAGAAGATCATCATCAAACTCACTGTGTCCTGGCCAAAGGCCCCATCTGATTCACGGTCTCATTATCTGTGTCCTCCAGTGGCCTCTTAGCCGATCTAAAACCATCTGGTCTCTGCTCCTAGAAACTTCGGTGTATCATCTCCTGTAAAAGCCCGTCAGCGGCTTTGGGCCCAGCGTAGGGGCAGGCAGTGAGTGGTACAGGATATTACTAAAAACTCTGAGGTCAGGACTCTCAGGCTCAGAGTCCTGCTAGAACTGATTACCCGCTTCCTGGTCTCAGTTGAGCACAAAGAAACCACCACTGGCTTCTCAGTGGGAGAACGGATACTGTACATCTCAGGTCAGGCTGGCACCTGAAGATGGTTTTTGGGTGCTCATTTCATGCAGGGATTGTGCTAACCACTAGAGATCAGAAACCAGATATAGTGCGGTCCTGCCCTAGTGAAGTCCATGCCTGCCAGGGAAATCCCGACCTGGCAGAGTCGGGGCGCCACCACGGAGCCTCATGGTACAGAGTCCTCAGGGATGAGGCTGTAAAGTCAGGGACAGTTTGAAATCAATGGTGACATGAGAACTTGGCAGAGAAGATTGAGGTCTCACAGGTTAACGAGGTACCACCTCACACTCACTAGGATGGCTATTACTTAAAAAACAAAGAACAAAAAAAAAAAATAGCAAATGTTGGCAAGGATGTGGAGAAATTAGAATTATGCAAATTGCTAATGGAAATGTAAAATGGTGCGACTGCTGTGGGAAACAGTTTGGAGGTTCTTCCAAAAATTAAGCATAGAACTACCATATGATTCAGCAATTCAGCTCCTAGGTATATACCCAAAATAATTGAAAATAAGTACTGAAATATACATATATATATATTTGAGAGAGAGAACATATTCACATGTTCGTTGCAGCATTATTCAAAATAGCCAAAAAGTGGAAACAACTGATAAATGATAAACAAAATGTGGTGTATACATATGGTGAAATATTACTCAGTCATTAAAAGGAATGAAGTACCATTACGGGCCACAGCGTGGATATGATGGAGGCTGGCTGGAGGGTCCTTGGCTCCGTGCAGGATGGCACTCAGAACTCGAGCCAAGAGGAAGTGAAAGCAGAGTTTATTGAAGACACAGAGAATATAGATACAGAGTGTCTTGGAGACCTGGAAAGAAAAGTGAGTCTCATCTGGGCATGGGGTTTTTACTGAGACCTGGCGTTTTTACTGAGGATAATGGGCTGGTGCAAGTGTCTTCTCAGGCATCTAGGAACAAAGACGAGTGTTGAGGTGTCCTTCATAAGTCATTTAGGCCCTGGAGCCAGGGATCTTGATGAGTCAGCGGTCTGGGAACCACCCTGCCTGGTCACTCCTTAGATGTTACTTATTGTGCTGGGAGCCTCCAAAGCAATTATTAAATCCTTGACCTTTACATGGAGAACATACAGTATCTGTTTTTTTTTTTTTTAAGATTTTATTTATTTATTTGAGAGAGAGAGAGAATGAGAGATAGAGAGCACGAGAGGGAAGAGGGTCAGAGGGAGAAGCAGACTCCCTGCTGAGCAGGGAGCCCGATGTGGGACTCGATCCCGGGACTCCAGGATCATGACCTGAGCCGAAGGCAGTCGCTTAACCAACTGAGCTACCCAGGCGCCCCTACAGTATCTGTTCTATAAGGTGTGTGAAGGGCGACAGTCTAGGTCCTGGCCAAAATAGAAGCAGGAAAAAAAGCAGTTTTTAATGGGGTCCCTTTAGTTTCCCTGTCTCAGATGAACCTCGAAAACATTATGCTAAGTGGAAAAAACCAGACACACGGGATCACGTACTGTATGCGGGTATGATTCCGTTTCTATAGAATATCTAAAATAGGTAAATGCAGAGAGAGGGAAGCAGATGGGTGGTTGCCAGGGACTGGGGAGAAGGAAAAGGGGGGGGGGCAAGTGTGTAACAGGTGCAGCTCTTCTTTTGGTGATGGTGAAGATGTTTTGGAAGTAGGTAGAGGTGCTGGTCGCATGACACCGCCAATGTACTAGATGCTACCGAATTTTTCGCTTTAAAATGGTTAATTTTTATGGCAGCAAAAGCTTGGTTGTGTCTCACCCTAGCTCATGGACACCGGAAGCCATATGAGAGGACACTGTCCAGTTAGGGTTGGATGTGCCCTCTCCGTCCTCAACTTCCCACCTTCTTGGAGGTGTCTGGGAAGGTAACCAGTTAGGTGCCAACATGGAGGAATAGAGGAGCCCTCCCCTCTGCTGAAAATGTACGGCAACAGCCAAGCCTCCGCTAGAGGTGTGGGGAGGTAAGTCTCCAGGCTTTAGCCAGCATGTGAGTCTTTCCTTTTCCTGGGCCCAGTGGAATAAGGAGGGACCTGTGGGCAAGCCACATTGTTGTTGGTTGTTGTTTTTTTTTTTTTTTTTAAGATTCTTATTTATTTATTTATTTGACAGAGAGACACAGCGAGAGAGAGGGAACACAAGCAGGGGCAGAGGGAGAGGGAGAAGCAGACCCCCCGCCGAGCAGGGAGCCCGATGCGGGGCTTGATCGCAGGACCCTGGGATCATGACCCGAGCCGAAGGCAGACGCTTAACGACTGAGCCACCCAGGCGCCCCCGGACGCGCCACATTGTCAATGGATGGCTTTTCCTTCAAGGAAGGGGGCTTGGCAGTTCCTAATCATCTGTTCACCGCTCAAGCCCTGCACCCGAGTGTCTTCCTGCTTCTGTTTAAAGAGAAGCATTGGGCCTTTGTGACATGCGAAAGGGTTTCTTCTCTCCTGCTGCCCTGGGGTCCCAGCCAGGCGCGGGCCCCAGTGTCCAGCTGGTCCAGCCTCTCAAAGGAGGCTCGGGGCTCGGGGCTCAGGGGCTGTGTGCCTGGGCTCTTGCCCAGCAGCGTTCCCTGGTCATTTGTAAGTAATGATGCTCGTGTTCACGTGGTGCTTTCGTTGTTAGGAAAGGGCCATTTTCTGGGTCCAGGCGAGGGGAAGGAACAGATGTTTGTTGTTCTGCTGCAGCATGCCAAGAGCTCTGCTGCGCGTTTCATGGGTGAGACCCCTGAGTCATGCCCAGAACTTTGGAAAGCGGGGGGCCCCCCACCATTTTGCAGCGGTGGAAGCTGGAGTTTAAGGAAGGTGTGCGGTGCGAGGCCGTACAGCTGGAGGGTAGCCAAGCTGGGAGGCAGGAGTCTCACCTGGCAGTTGGGTTGAGGGGACTAACCCCCAAAACTTAAGATGAGAGGTCGCCTTTCCCAGGCACCCCTGAGAGCCGCAGGAGGGGTGTGGATGAGGAAAGTAAGTACATTTTGTCCATCAGGCAGCTGGGAGAGGGTCGGAGGGGGTAATACAATGTGTGGAGTAGCCTTTAGCTCAAGAGGGAGAAAAATTGTCCTCATGCTGGAGGGTGGCAGCAGGTAAGGACAGGGGCACCGGAGCCCGGCTGCCAGGCTCAAGCCCTGCCCTGCGCCCTGTAGGTTTGGTGACCTTGGGCTGGGCCCACCACTTCGCCTCAGTTTCCTTATGAGTGACATGGGGTAAATCGAGGGTTATGGGCAAGAGTAAATGCCCTCCCCGCAGAGATCTCCGAGCTTGCCTGGCAGGTGGCAAAGCTTTTGTGACTGTTGGCTGCTGGCTCAGGGTGAAGGAGAGACCCTGTAGGACTGTTGACTTTCTGACTCGTTTTTAATCAGAACACAGTAACTCAGAAAAAAACCTCCGTCTGTAGCTGATCGCCTGGCTCAGCGTTGTGCCTCGGTCCTCACCACATTTCAAAAAACTGAAGACTCGATCTTCATATTCAGGGGAAAGTGATCTTCGTTGGCAGCCGGGTTTTTGTTTTTGTTTTTGTTTGTTTGGGTTTTTTTTTTTTTTTTTTTTGAAACTGGAGGGGGCAGGGAATCCCTGACTTCCCTGGGGGTTAGTTGAATCCAGAGAACCCCCAGAAAGTGTGGCATCCTTGGACAGCTGTAATAGATCACCACCAACGTGGTGGTTTAGGACCAACACCAGCTGTACAGGTCTGGAGGCCAGAAGTCCGAAATCAGTGTCACTGTGCTAAGGTCCGCAGGCTGGTTCCCCTGGAGGCCCCAGGGAAAAACCAGTTACGATGCTCTTTCCAGCTTCCAGGGTCCCCATCCTCCCGTATCCCAGCCAGCAGTGCAGGTCCACAGATCTCTGTGTCGTGACATTGCCTTCTGTGTGACCCCTGTGTCCCTCTTAACAAGGACGGTGGTCCTCCTTTGGGTCCTTATAATTATGTAGTGGCCCTTATAATGATTGGCCCCACCTGGATAATCCAGGACCATCTCCCCCATCTTAAGATCCTTAATTTAATCACATCTGCAAAATCCCTTTGACCCTATAAAGCCACATATTTACAGGTTCTTGGGACCGGGGGGCATTCTTCAGCCTACTCGCTCCCCTGGGTCCCCCATGCCTCACTGCTTCTCCAAGAGATTATTTGGGTTGAAAATAATGTGGTTGTGGTTGACCCACATCAAAGAATACAAAACCTCCCTCAAATGACACTGAAATGGTCATCAATAGCTATTTTACATTTCTTTGTATCACTTTTCTCGAACCTGTGTTTTGACAGTATTCCAGCTAATGAGGTATTTTAGTAGCTTTTTTCTAAATGGCAAAGATGAAGCGACGAGCAGTTTTTGCAAATAGCACGCTGAGGAAAGTGGATGTCCAAGGGCCAAAAATGTCAAGTTTAGTGCAGGCCATCTGTGATTCTGGTTGGCATTGCTTATAAAGGACCGTAAAGGACTGTTACACTTGCTCCCAGAGAACAGTCTTTTTGTTACTGTTATTTCAGGGAGGGAAGTAAAATTCTCCCACTGGATCTTATTATACATTTAAGGAGATGTCTCTCAGCAACCTCATGCCACCCTCCACCCCACGCATGTACCCTAATGTCTCACTGAGAAGTCAATGGGCACAATGCCAGGAGTCCGTGTCTAGAGAAGCCGTAGATGTTACCTGGCTCTTTCCCGGGGCTCCTTATGGAGGCTTCGAGGTTCCAAAGGAAAGATCTGGGCCTTTTCTGGGTGCTGGGGCTACAGCAAGGAGCACAAGAAAGCCCCTTCATCTGGGAGAGAGGGAAGGTCAGCTTGCTAGACAGACAGACCAGGTTTGCCAGGCAGCGCTGGCCCTGAGCTTTGTGATTGTGATCAGGGGTTTTGAGTGAAACCAGGAATTTTAGGTGCTTATTGGAGTTGGGAAGGTCAGGGGGCTGAGAGACAAGGTGGGTGGTAGGGTCCAAGTCACCCACATGGATGTTGACGTCATTGAGAGTGATGACGAAAGTTGGGGGTGGGAAGCAGAAGGGGGGGTGGGG